AAAAAATATTATATGGTATTTATTGTTTAAAATTGTGCAATTTAATAAACTTTAATATTAAAAATCATCATTTTTATTTAATAATTTTTATTTTGTAACTAAAAAAAAAAGTATTTGAATTATACATAGAATAAGAGGAAAAGAGAAATAGAGGAACTGTGAGGAAGTAATTCTCTTCTAGTCAAACGAAATTTATTGTTCTTTTTTTCATTTAATTTTATTTTACTTCATTTTTTAAAAACTAAACATATTACAAAAATAAAATATATGTTTAAATTTTTTTTTCTTACTTATATATAAATAATTGGAATAACAATAAAAAAATAAAATAATGGAAGTACAAGTTTAAAATTTAAATATTACGTACATAAGGAAATATGAAAAGACCGTTCTAGAAGCAAAGGAGTTGCTAGCGAATGCAGTTGTGTGGTTACTGTCTTGTGATTATATAAATTGTTAAGTTTTAATCTTAATTTTTTTTATTAAAAATAATTAATATTTATTATTTAATTTATTAAAATTAATTTATTTAAAAATAAATATTTTTTTAAATATTATAATTAATTATTTAATAATTAACTGTACGTGTAACCCGTGCAGCTAGCTAATGTACTGCAATTCGCCCAACTAACCACCGATGATAAGCAGGAGTATCATGCTTTTGAGATAAAAAAAAAATGTTGAAAGCCAGAAACATACTTTTTTTTTTTTTTTCCCCAAAATTTCAATGATTGGTTTCATAAAATTAGACACTACAGGCAATAACTGCATTTTGTAACGTTAATGTAAAGTTACATCAACAACTTTAATGATTTAGTAATTATTTTTTTATTGAAAATAAAAATTTTTAAATTTGAATAATATAATATATGAATGAAGTAAAATAAACGATGAAAAAAATAATTGTTTTTTGTTATTTAATCGAAAAAAAAAAGTCTGATTCTGAAGTTACAATTTACAAATTTTCTTACTCAGCCTCACTAGAAGACAACAATTTTTGACGTGCTCGAGCAGGAAAAGCCAGCAAACCAATTAGGCAACCCTCCTGAGCTGCACACCGAGGATCACCACCCACCCAGACACCAATCCCCTGATTGTATTTAACATCCATGTTGGTGCACTAAATTATCTCAACTGCAAGATATTATGTTTCCATCTCCGGGCCCCTCATCAACTGTAAAAACACGGCAAGCTTCGTATGATCTACCATATATGGGCAGGACCCTTGAGGCATTTAACATCTTCAAGGAATGGGGTAGGCTCGAGTAGCTCTAATCCACATGGTAGAAGGAGCATGGGCGAGAGACAGAATTCCATTAATTCCTTGATTCATGATTGGTATATCCTCTTATTTAATGCTCATAAACATATATAAGATGTTAGCATGAGAAATGAAAGTATGAAACATTAAGAATGTATTTGGTACAACTAATAAAAAGATCTTTTTAAACTTAAAAGTTTTAACTACATTAAAATACTAGTACTGATGAAAAACACAAGTACTTTCTCAAAAGCTCATCTTCTCCCGTTTTAATGCAATTTTGAGAAGCACCAATTTCATGCTTATGTGGCAACTTCTACTTTTTGGTGTAATGAATTTTACTCACTCTTCCTATTTTATCCTAACATTTGCTTCTATTTACAAAAAAAACCACTATATATAGGTCCAGTTATAACATCCCACCATTCCTTTCTCGCGCAGCCTAGGTTGGCGTGTTTCTTCCAGTCTTCTTAACCATCATCTTCCTCATCCAACCATCTTCTTTCTCATCCAACTAGACACCCAGGATTATTACCCAAAAAAAACAAAAAAGCCCAGAGACCCAGGTGCTGGGTTAGCCGCGAACCCAAGTGCTGGGTGTTGGGTTCGCCGGCGAACATAGAGGTAAAAAAAAAGAAAAGAAAAGAAAAGAAAAAACAGCCGGAGGAAGAAGAAAGGGGAAATAAAACAAGTACTCTGATCAAACAATAACATTTAAAAAATATATATAATGATAATTATGTAATTAAATGATATTTAAGATTATATTAAATAAAAAATTTAACTATGTTATTAATTTTATCAGAAGAATTTTCTATATAATTTAAGTAAAAAAAGACAAGAAAAAGGAAATTTAACTTAAGTTTTAGTTTAATTATCTTATTTATGTGACTTATATGTAGTATAATTTATTTTTTAATTCCTTAAAATATAAACATTTATCTAGTATTTATTTTTAAAATATGAATAATTAATTTTAAATTATCAATCTTAAATTAATTATAAAAATAAAATCATAAAAATATAAAAAAATTTAGAGTGGGAGTGGTGATTGAATATGAATAATTAATTTTTAATCATCAACCTTAAACTAATTATAAAAATAAAGTCATAAAAATATTAAAAATTTTGGAGTGGGAGTGGTGATTAAATGTACTATATTTTATTTTTTAATATTAAAAT